GGTACTGCTTGACGGGCCAGGCGACCGAGGATCCCCACAAGAGCCAGTCCAAGGAGTCGACGGTTGCGAAGCTCGCGCTGGACTAATGCTTCCTGGCGCGCGAAGGGGAGCTGCAGAAGGAGGGGATCGACGACGTTGCAGTCGAGCTCGTGCTCTTCTACCTCGAGGCGTGGGGTGCTGGCGAGGTCGTGCTGAGAGCAGACCAGGAGCCAGCCATCCAGGCGTTGCTCGTGGAGCTGCGCCGGCGCCGACACGAGCACCATCGCACTACGATCGAGAAGTCAACGAAGCACGATAGCAAGGCGAATGGCGGCATCGAGGTGGTGGCGCGAAGGGTGGAGTCGCTCACCCGCACCCACGTGGCCGTCATCGAGGGCAAATACAAGACCAAGGTGACGTGCCAGTCGGTGATCCTCCCGTGGCTGGTCAGGCACTCGGCGTACATCATCACCAAGATCGTCTTGAAGAGTGATGGTCGGAGTGCCTGGGCGACGATACGAGGGAAGGAGTTCACATCGCCTCTCGCGGGTGTGGGCAAGACGGTGGACTTCAAGTTGATTCGCAAGGACCAGTCGAAGCTCGACCCACGCTCGGCCTCGGGAGTGCTCCTCGGGCGGAGGGACGAGAGTGATGAGGTTGTCGTGGGCACACCACGAGGCATCCAGTTCACTAGGTCATGCGGGACCGCAGTGGTGAGCACGAGGCGGAGGTACATCACTCGCGCCCTGATCCAGGAGCACGGTGAGAGTCCTGACTGCACGGCTTGCCTGGGACTGTCCAGCGTGCACACGATCGGGTGCAGGGCTCGCTTCGAGGAGATCTTCAGGAAGCAGGCTGAGCAGCTGATCCAGACACAGCGGGCGAGCGGCGCAGGCAGCGCCGACGTTCTGAACCCAGGACCTCCAGGAGGAGACCCAGGACCCCAGAGCCAGCCAGGACAGCCACAGGCCATCGGCGCACCTCCAGGGCTGGAGTTGCCTACGGCCAGTGGTCCGAAGGTGAAGGTGATACAGTCCACGACGGAGAGCCAGCAAGGAAGAGGCCAGTCATTGACGTGGCCCCCGCTGCGCCCATGGACACCGACCCAGAGGCCGAGGCCATGACCCTCGGTGCGCTCTGCGAGGAGGCCCCCGTCCCGACCTTCGACGAGAAGTTGTTTGCGGGCAGCTTCCACGACCAATACACTGGCGAGGTCCTCCCGAAGGAGCTGGTGCTGGAGGGCGTGAAGCGCGAGCTCGACGAGATGGAGGAGCTCGAGGTGATGGTCTGGAAGAAGCGCAGCGAGAAGCCACCAGGGGAGAGGGTGATCTCCACCAAGCTCTTCCACACGAGAAAGGGACCAGACTGCGTGCGACCACGGATCGTCGCACGAGACTTCGCAGGAGGCGTCTTCGCACCAGAACACTATGCAGGGGCAGCTCCGACGTGGGCGCTGAAGCTGGTGATCTCGAGGCTGGCATCGCGTGGGGAGTCAAGGCAGCTCGCATCGCACGACATCTCGGTGGCATTCGTCCACGGGCAGCTGAAGGAGGCAGCCTGGGCCGAGCCGCCGAAGGAGCTGAACTGCACAGACTGGCTCTGGCTCGTGAGCCAAGCACTGTACGGGATGCGGGAGTCAAGCGCCGACTTCCAGGAGCTGGCGCGGGACACGTGCCGAGAGCACGGCTGGACCATCCTGGCGACGGTGCCCTGCCTGGCGTATCACAGCGAATGGGACTGTCTGTCGGGGTTCCACGGTGACGACTTCTACACCGAGGGCGAGCCGCAGCAGCTGGACAAGGTCGACGCCATGATCACGGGGAGCTTCAAGGCCAAGATCCTCCCACGGGTTGGGCCAGCCGTTGAGGACACAGACCTGGTCCTGCGGCGGCTTCTACTGTGGAGCCCGAACGGGTTCATGCTGCTGCCTGACCCGAAGCACTTCGAGAGCCTGAGCACGCTGCTGGACCTGAAGGGTGCGAAGCCGTCCCCGACGCGTGCAAGTCGAGCGACTGGCAAGAACGCACGAGACGCACTTGAGGAGCTGAAGCGGGCCGAGAAGGCGCTCTACTGCAGGGGCACGGGCATATGTGTGTACATCGGCCCAGACCGTTTCGACATCCAGTTCGCAGTGAAGCAGCTGGCATCAGACATGGCACATTCGACGCGTCTGAGTATGATTAGGTTGCGGAGGCTGGCGCGCTACCTGGCTGGGACGCACGACGTTGGCATCGAGTTCCTCTACCAGGCGTCCTGCAACGACATCGTGGTGCACTCCGACGGCGACTGGAGCGGCGACGTCCAGACGTGCAACAACACGTCGGCAGGCACGATCCAGGTCGGAGACCCCAACGCTGGCCATCTCATCGAGAGCTGGAGTATCACCCAGGGTGCCGTCGCGCTCAGCAGCGCGGAGTCGGAGTTCTATGCGATCGGCTCGGCGGCGGCTCGGGGGATCGCAGTCAAGCAGGTGATGGTCGAGATCGCTGAGCTGGGAGCTGGACTTCCAGCGGACGTGAAGCTGATCATCCGCACGGACTCGGACGCGGCCCGCGGCATGATCCATCGAGTGGGCTGCGGGCGGGTGCGACACCTACAGACACGCTACCTCTGGCACCAGCAGGCGCTGAGGGAGAAGCAGTTCGAAATCGAGCGAGTCGATGGTAACAAGAACCCGAGTGATGCAGGGACCATTGCGCTCGACCAGGAGGCGCTGCAGGCCTGCATGGTGAACCTCGGGATCGTGAGCAGGACTGTGGCAGGCTTCGGCACGGACGAGGCCGCCCAAGTCCTGGCGGCGCTGTTGCTGTGTGCGACGGCTCGGACCGCCTACGAATCGGACGTGAGCACCTGCGCGGGAGGTGCGAACCAGACGGAGACCTGCGGCATGATGATCAAAGTGTTTGAAGCGATCATCCTGATCGCCGTGGGCTTCATGACGGGCGTGCTCTGCGACAAGCACATGATGATGAGGGGGCGCCCCGCTTCAGCCCGCTTGTTTTCGGACTTAGGTGTACAGGCTGAACCAACCCCCACCCGTTGCAAGGAGACGTGGAGCCAGGCCCCTTGCACGTACGCCAGGAATCGTACTCAGCCCCGTTTCGTTCCCCTGCCAAAGCACTCGTGGCGATAGGTAGGTAGGCTCCCGCACACATAGTGTTGAGTGAGAGGAGTTGGCGTGAGGCTGTTGGCCACAGCCCACCAGATGAGATAGCTGCAGGCAGTCAGAGACACATAGACCGGTATAACGCGTTTTGAGAAGCATACTTTGACGTTTTCGGGCCCAGAGCGGATCGGACTGATCACCCGACGATGCCCTGGGGCCCCTCCTGCTTTTCAGGGAGCAAGTTGCTGATGACAGCTTGCACCCTCGGGGTGCCGCGCTGAGGAGGCGTGCAGACATCCGAGCAACATGCGAGAGATTGTGAAGCAGGTTGTCCGCAGCCATTGGCATGTCAAAACATCCAGTCCAGGAACCATAGCAAAAAGAGAGTCAAAACATTGTCCCCAGACTATTTTTTGACTATGTTTGAACATTCCTCCAGTAGAGGGACAGGCCCGACTGAAAGCTAAGGCGAGGAAGAATGCCATGTGCTGCATGGCAGGGCTTCCGTGGTCTTCTACCCCCACCCCCGCTCGCCGCGCCCAGTTGCACCCCCCGTCTCCGTCCCCGAGGCCAGAACCCCTCGAGACGTGCGACAGACTGGCGCTCCTGAGGCCCAGATGCCTCCGACCCAGGAGCAGGGCGGTTCGAGACGCTGGGAGTTCAAACTCGGCCCCCGAAGCCATCCCGGGGTCCAAACGCACCAGTTCTCCGCGCTGCGCCCAGCCGTGACGACGAGGGCCCCCCCGCCCCCCTCCGAAGGCCAGCTACCAATGTCTCCAACGGCCCTCCTCTGCGTGGCGGCCTTGCCGGAGGCAGCTGGATGCGCCGATCCTCCCTCGGGCCTCCCCCTCCTCCCCCGAGGTTCTCCTTCCCGCTACCCGCCCGCCCGCGTGCCCCCTCCGGACGCGGACGCTGCGTAGAGAGCAGAACATCCACCCTCGTAAGAATTCCCCCGACGCGCGAAGCCGTTTCGTAAACGCATCCAGAGGAGGAAGCGAACAGGGCAGGGCTGTGAAGTAAACGCCAGGTATCGGGTCTGCGTGGTTTTCCTCCCTTGCTGCGGGCGGCTCTGTCTCCTGAAACCGACAGCGACTGCTGCTGCGAGGGCAAGGCTCGCCATCGCGCGGACTGCGCAGTGGCGGCAGCAGCCCCCGTTCAAGATGACAGGGAGCTGCTAGGAGGAGGAGGAGGAGGAGGAGGAGGAGGAGGAGGAGGAGGAGGAGGAGGATTAGGAGGAGATGGAGGAGGAGGAGGAGGAGGAGGAGAGGAATTCTGGATATCTGGATATGGCGCGCCACGAGACCGGCGCGTCCCACGAAGCCAAGAGCAAGAGGAAAATCATGCATCAAGGACCCCTGTAAGGGGCAAATACAAAGTTACCTTGAAAGGCCATTCCCACAAGGTGGACATCACCAATTGTGGCTCCTGTCCTAAGAGGAGAGGAAGAGGAGGAGGAGGAGGGAGAAGGAGGAGGAGGTGGAGGAGGAGGAGCTGGTGCCAGGCACTGCTCCCATTCGGATCGTCCTCCTGTTGGGCGTCTCGATACGAAAGTGCTCCTAGCACAGGTGCCCACGGATCCTCTTGCTTGGGCGGTCCGTGCGCCGTTGGCCCGCCGCCGCTGCAACGTGGCCGTCCGATCGATTCTGCATCAACACATGAGAAAGGGCCCATGGACACTTGAGAAAGGGCCCAGGGCCCACATTTTCCCCGTTCTCCTTGGAGTCGACGCTTACTTGCGTCTGTGTGTGCTTTTCCCCTCCTGAACACCTCGTGCCCAAACCTCGCCCTGACGTCCTCCTACACTTCCACCCCAGCGCCCGCCGCCGTCGCAGCCGCCCGCCGCCGCCGTCGCAGCGGCAGCAGCAGCCGCCGCCGTGGCGACAGCCAGGATGGCGGCCCCAGGCGCCCCGCGCTCCCACGGCACTCGCCAGCCCGCCCCCGGCGGCGCCGCCGAGTCGGACGGGCAGACGGCGTACAACTGGCGGGCCCGCGGGGGCCCAGGGAGCATGCGAGCGTCCCGAGGGAGGAGGAAAAGGAAGGGGGGAGAAGGAGGACCAGTGTATACCCAAGAGTCATCAACGACGTTGAAAATTATCCCGGCAAAGCAACCTAACAGCGATGTGGAAGTAGGAGCATAAAGCATTCCCCTTAAGATTCAAATGAGAATCCAGTTGAGAATTGTGCATCTCGCAGTCGTAGTCGCATTCGCGATGACAGTCGCAGTGGCAACGGCAGTCACCGACACAGCCTCAGCCTCAGCCTGCCTCAGCCTCAGCCTCAGCCTGCCTCAGCCTCAGCCTGCCTCAGCCTCAGCCTCAGCTGCCTCAGCCTCAGCCTCAGTCTGCCTTCAGCCTCGGCGTCAGCCTCAGACTGCCTCAGCCTCAGCCTGCATCAGCCTCAGCCTCAGCCTCAGCCTCAGCCTCAGCCTGCCTCAGCATCAGCCTGCCTCAGCCTCAGCCTCAGCCTGCCTCAGCATTCAAAATGTGGCCCGGGAATGGAATTCTGGGAACTCGAAGAACACGAAGTGGCCTACAGTTGGCTCCGGGCATTCAAAATCATGCCCAGGAATGGAGTTCTGGGAACTCGAAGACCACGAAGTGGCCTACAGTTGGCTCCGGGCATCCAAAATCTGGCCCGGGAATGGAGTTCTGGGAACTCGAAGACCACGAAGTGGCCTACAGTTGGCTCCGGGCATCCAAAATGTGGCCCGGGAATGGAGTTCTGGGAACTCGAAGACCACGAAGTGGCCTACAGTTGGCTCCGGGCATCCAAAATGTGGCCCGGGAATGGAGTTCTGGGGACTCGAAGACCACGAAGTGGCCTACAGTTGGCTCCGGGCATTCAAAATGTGGCCCGGGAATGGAGTTCTGGGGACTCGAAGACCACGAAGTGTGTGACTGTTGCATCCGGTTATTCAGAATGTGGCCTGGGAATGGAGTTCTGGGAAGTCGAAGAGCACGAAGTGTGTGACTGTTGGTGAAAAACGAGCCCGGCACAGGCCCGGCCGGCAACTCCCAACGCCTGCCCGGACCCCCCTGTGGAGTGATCTGTGAGCTCTTTTGAGTCAACTAGAAACCTATCAGTCTACGCTGTTAGGTAAAAAAACCTCCCTTCCAAGCTCCCTCTTCACAGGCCCCTACAACGGTTCATTTCCAGTGGGGTAACTGCCTCGTTGGAAGACAGCCGTCTGAAGACACTGAAGCATGCCAAAACATTGTTCTCGGGATTCCAATGCCACATATCAACCTGACTGCTGCGTGTTGACGATCCTGAATCGTGCCAGAACGCCATTCCTGGGACGCCAACACAGCGAATCAACGTAACTGTTGCGCCCGCGTAAACCTGAATCTTTTCAAAACATCATGTCTGGTACGTTGATGATGGGGATCCGTGGAACTCTTGCAAATTTTGTTAACGAATGGGCGCGGCGCTGAGGCGACAACCACATTTTGAAAACGGCCCGCTCTCAACCCGTGAAACTCTTCCAAATGTCTAAAACGAATGTGCGCGGCGCTAGGGCGAGAACCACATTTTGAAAAGGAACCGCCCTGAATCCATTATACTATTACATATGTTTGACACGAATGTGCGCCGCGCTAAACCGAAAACCACATTTTGAAAGCGGCCCGCCCTCAATCCGTGGAACTCTTGCAGTATTTAAAAAAATGCGCCGCGCTAGCGCGAGAGCCACATTTTGAAAACCACCCGCCCTCCATCGGCGAAACGGTTGCCAATGTTTAAGCTTCGAAATCGTAAATGGTGAAGACGTCTAAGGCGAAACGCCCGGCCCGCCCTAAAAACTGGTTTCGGGGTGCGACAGGGGAACCCAATTATATGGAAAAGAAATGGAGGAGGAGGCGGAGGAGGAGGAGTAGGAAGAGGAGGAAGAGGAGGAGGAAGAGGAGGAAGAGGAGGAAGAGAAGGGAGGAGGAAGGAAGGGAGGAGGAGGAGGAGGAGCAGGAAGAGGAGGAGGAGGAGGAGGAGGGAGGGAGGAGGCAGCCGAGGCACAGCACCCCCACACCCCCACACGCACACACGCACACACCCACACCCACACAGACACACACACACAGACACACAGACACACAGACACACAGACACACAGACACACAGACACACAGACACACAGACACACAGACACACAGACACACAGACACACAGACACAGACACAGACACAGACACACACACACACACACACGCACACGCGAAGCCCGAACATCCGCACACAAACACCCACACACATGTTTTGGCGTCGGCGGCTACTAGGCAGGGGACGTCTGCGCTGGCGATGGGATGCCGCACGCCCAAACACGCACACGCACACCCGCCCACGCACACGCACTCCCACACACGGACACGCAACCAACACACACACACCCACACCCACACACGCACACTCACACCCGCACCCGCAGACCGACACTCGCACACGCACACGCGCACACGCACACGCATACACACATACACACACACACGCACATGCACACGCGCACGCAACACACACACACACACAGAGACACACACGCGCACACGCACACGCACACGCACACGCACATGAACGAACACAAACACACACACACACACCCATCCACCCGCACACCCACACACCGACACACCCACGCACACGCACACACGCACCAAGGCTGTTATACACGCACACGCACACACACACACACACACGCACCCACGCACCCGCACCCACGGACCCACGCACCCACGCACACACAAACGCACACACGCACATACGCACACACCCACGCACACGCACCGACGCACCCACGCACCCACGCACGCACGCACGCGCGCGCACACACGCACGCACGCACACACACGCGCGCACAAACACATACAAACACGCACGCACGAGCACACACATACAAACGCACACACACACACACGCACACTCTCCCTCTCACACACGTGCAGGTAGCACAGACACACACACAAACACACACACACACCCACGCACACGCACCCACGCACCCACGCGCACACGCACCCACGCACATGTGCACACACCACACACACACGGACACACGCACACACAAACGCACACAAACACACTCTCTCCCACACGCACACACACACACACTCTCTTACTCACACCTTCACACACACTCTCATACACACGCACATTCGCAATCACACACACACACGCCCACACCCACACCCACAACCACACCCGAACCCACACTCACAGACAACAACCGCGCACACACACGCACTCACACGAACGCACACACACAGACACAGACACGGACACCGGCACAGAAACAGACGCACAGACACAAACACAGACACAGACGCACAGACACAGACACCGACACAGACACACACACACAGACACACACACAGTCACAGACACAGACACAGACACACACACACACAGGCACACAGACAGATACAGGAACAGGCACAGGCACACACACAGACACGCTGACGCAAAGACACACAAACACAGAAACAAAAAGGCACGCAGACACGCAGACACGCAAACACGCAGACACACAAACGCACAGACGCACCGACACATAGAAAGACATATTCAGACACACAGAGACACACAGACACAGACACAGAGACACGCAGACACACAGACAAAGAGACACAGAGACACAGAGACACAGAGACACAGAGACACAGAGACGCAGAGACACAGAGACACAGAGACACAGAGACACAGAGATACAAAGAGACAGAGACACGGAGACACGGAGACACAGAGACACAGAGACACACACACACACATACACGCACACAGACACAGACGCAGGCGCAGACACAGCCACAGCCACACGCACAGACACAGAAAAAGGCTGAGGCAAAGGCATACACACAGAGACCAACACACACAGACGAACACACACACACACACACACGCACCGACGGACCCACGCACGCACTTACCCACGCACGTTCACACGCACGGGCACACGAACGCACGCACACAAACATACACGCACACACACACACACGCACACACAATCACACACACGTGAGCGACCCTTCAAAAATCGGTCTCGCGCGAGATGGCCCGCCGATGTTACGCGGTGTCTTACGCGGGTAGCTTCCGCGCGAATGTCGGCGCAAACGACCCCCGTTTTGCTGTGTTGCCTATACAAAACGACACACACACACACACGCACGCACACGCACACACCTTCCGACGGCGAGCGTTCGCTCGGCGACGCGCTGGTCTCAGCAGGCGTGTGGCTGCAGTCGGCCTGCCTTCAGCGAGCGCTCGCCCGGCGACGCGCCGGTCTCAGCGTGCGAGTGGTGGCCAGCGGGCGGCCGGCAATCCGCACCAGAGAAACCGAGGGGCCGAGAGGCACGCCGAGGGGCCGAGAGGCAATCCGTACCATGGAATGACACACACGCACACACCTTCCGTCGGCGAGCGCTCGCTCGGCGCCGCGCTGGTCTCAGCGGGCGAGTGGTGGCAATCGGGCGGCAATCCACTCCAGAGAAGCCGAGGGGCCGAGAGGCGGCAGCTGACGGGGGGGCAGCCGGACGGGAAGGGCGGCGCGGCGCGACGGCACGCAGAGGGTAGCGATTGGCGGCGAGCCACGGGGGGGAAAGCAAGAGAAGGCTTCAAAGCCAGGGCTCCAGCTACGCAGTGTTTTTCGTTGGCGTTTTGTTTTCGTGTTCCTTCGTTCTGACTTCGCTCCGCCTCCGCTGTAGAACGAAGTCAAAACGAAATGGTCCACGAAATCGCCAAAACATTGTTTTGCTCGAGCCCTGTTCAAAGCCTTCTCCGAGGACGCAGGAACTCCTCAGAAGGCGCGAGGGCCTCTGAGAAGCCACGCCGCCTTCTGACAAGGCCTGCCCCATCCCACTTCCCCCCCTGGGATCGCCGCCGGAATGTAAACCGACACAGACCGACCGACATCGGGAGCTTCTTAAGCGGAGAGGGGGGGGGCAATAATGCACTTTTCTGGTTAGCAGCGAGGGCGGTCGCCAACGCGTCGTTCGGAAAGCCGGCGGGCCGCGTCGAGACGCGGACACACTGGGCAATGAGGGCAATGCGCCAGGGGGTGAAGAGACGTGCACCTTCCGTGCACCTTCGGGGCGCCACGGGGGGGCCTTCTTGGGGCCCCCACGAGGGTCCCTCTCATGCAGCTGTCGATCACGCCAATCTGTCGCCCCTTCATCACGAAGCGCCTGACGACTGAGGGGTAACGTTATGGAGGGACCAGCTACGGGGGGGGCGGACACTTCCAGCTGGAATCGGCCACGCATCGCAGACAGATCGGCGACAAGCTCCCGACAGGGAAACCGCACGTTCCCTGGCGGAGTGGGCCATCAGGCCCCGATCGGCGATCAGGTGGGCGATCGGCGAGCGATGCAGGTCCCCCCTGAGACCCCCCCCCCTGATTCGGGCCGGGCGAAAGGAGGGGATAGCAAAGGGGGGGGTGAGAATCAGCTCTCGTAGCTGATTTTCCTGGCGCCTCCCGGCGCCGGGAAGCGCCCATGTATCGAGGAATGGGCCCGGCGGCGGGGCAGAAACCAGCTGCATGCAGCAAATCTTCGGGAGCGGCCAAGAGGTGGGTGTCCAAGAGGGGGGAGTCCAAATCATGACCGGCGGCATGTGCGCGGCCCCGCGGGGGGGGCAGGGACGTAATGAAATAAGAAGAGGCGCCATGAAATCTGGGGAAGTATCATCGCCCCCGCCATGATATCCCCCCCCCCCTAGTCATCACCCCCCTCTTTGCCGCGCCCGAACAACGGGGCTCCGCGGCGGCCGCTCGGGACGCTCCGGGCACCCCTGGAAGAACGCCCCCGGCGAGAGGCGCGGCTGCCGGCGAGAGCAGAGCAGCCCCGCGAGGCCCCCAAGCGCTGGCGCAACGCCCGACTGCCTCGATGGAGCGGGGAAAAAACGCCCCAGCATGCCTGCAGGCCTGCCACGACATGTTCTTAGAGCCCACAAAGGCTCTAAGAACAAGATCCATGCTCTCAGAACATAAGCCCGATGTGTTAGCGCAAGACTGTCTCATGTCTACCATGCAATTTTCTTAGAGCCCAAAAATCGGGTCGGGCAAAAGGGGAAAATAGCAAAGGGGGGGGGGGAGAATCAGCTCTCGTAGCTGGTTTTCCGGCGCCTCCTGGCGCCGGAGGCGGCCATGTATCGAGGAATGGGCCCCTCGGTGGGGCCGAAACCAGCTGCACGCAGCAAATTTCGTAACCCCCCCTTTCCCAATCCCCCCCTTTCGTCCAGCCCGAGAAAATGCTCCAAGAACAAGATTCATGTTCTTAGAAGATAAGCCTGATGTGTTAGCGCAGGTCTGTCTAAGCCCGAGACGTCCTGAGAGCATGTCGTGCATGTCGTGCAGACCTCAGTAGGTCTTTAGAACATTCTTTGGTGGGCCTACAGGCAAGCCAGGACGCTTCGCCACTGCTCGACTCGAGCTCTCGAGCCCGAAACCTCCGCACACGCGCCCCACACACCGGCCGCCACCCCCAGGCTGCCTGCACGGGCCGCTCGGTCGGCTGGTTGCCCCCGACCTCTGGAGCATCAAACCATGGCACACAATCAACGCGTGTGATAAGGATACACGATAAAGTTGCAAGGGCCCTGAAAGGCCGGCCATGTCGACACGCTTCGAGCGGGGCGCGGCCCGCAAAAGTGGCCAAGGATTGGCCAAGGGGGGAAGGATGCAAAGGTAACCTTGAAACGACGCTCATCCTGTCCGTGTTGTCTGTAAGCATGCAGCATGAACTTCGGAGATCCGCGTGGATGTTTTGGATCGACGCTGGAGCCCCCTGGCGGCGCCTCCGGCGCCGCCTCAGGCGTGGACCCGCGCGCCCGCGCGCCAGAGCCAGGAAGGTCCAGCGCCAATCCAAGAACTGATCGCGGACCTCACACAGTTGATGCTTACCCGTCGGCCGGAAGAAGTGGGTAGAAACATGAAGTAGGAAGGCGTTGGAAGTGGTTTGCGCTCTGGCCCGCCCCCTGAAGAGGAGGGAAGAGGGACAACCGCCCGACTCTTGGAGTAGGAAGGCGCCTAAAGTAGACTGGGACTTGGGCATCAAAATAATACCTACTTTCAACGACCGACGGGTGGCTCTGCCCGCCAGCGCCAGTAAGGTCCAGCGCCTATCCAAGAAATGAGCGCGGACCTCCCACAGTCTCGACAAGCGCGTTCCACGACTCGCAAAGTAACTACTCGCAAATTGGCATGGATCGGCCGCGAGGGATCTACGATCCAGCAAGTAGACAGGAAAGCAGTTGTTCTAGGACGTCTGCGAGTAGGCACTGTGCGAGCAGTGGAACGCGCTCGGTGAAAACTGATGCTCATGCCACGTGTTGCTCCTCGACGACCCGGCTGCTGAACCGCCAGCCCTCGGCGGTGCCGTCGCGGCCGTCCCAGTAGGCCAGGAAGACCTCGCCCCTGCCGGCAGCCACGGCCTGGCGACGCGGGCGGGGCCGCACCCGGGGGGGGAAGGGCGGGACTCCTCCTCTGCGCCCCGCGCTCGGCGGCGGTCCGCGCTGTGCGCTGGACTTGACGCTCGGCTCTCGATCCCCGAGCCTCCTCGAGCCTCGAGCCTCCTCGAGCCTGGATTCTCGGACCTCGGTGCTCGATCCCCGAGCCTCCCCGAGTCTCGATCCCCGAGCCTCCTCGAGGCTCGATCCCCGAGCCTCCTCGAGCCTCCTCGAGCCTCCTCGAGCCTGGATTCTCGGACCTCGGTGCTCGACCCTCGAGTCTCGGACCCCCGACCCCCGAGCCTCCCCGAGCCCCGAGCCTCGAGCCTCCTCGACCCTGGCATCTCGGACCCCGGTCCTCGACCCTCGAGTCTCGGACCCTCGATCCCCGAGCCTCCCGGAGCCTCGATCCGCCAGCCTCGGCATCTCCGGATCGAGAAGGACGGTCCGTGGATCTGCGCTGCCCGCATGGCCGGCGGCTCGAAGATGTGGCCCCGAGGCCTCGATCATCGCTCGGACGTCCATTCCCCGTGCGTTTTTTTTGCGGGAGCGTCCATGCGCGTACTTTCTCGCAAGAGTTGACCCGAGATGCTCCACGAGGGTCCTCGCCGAGGGAAAACGCACACGTCCGAACGATGCCGAGTCTCTGAGTGACCGATCTTGGGCCGCCAGACGGCACCAGAGGACTCCGGAGCCCTCCGGAGGCCGCCCAGGACCGCCGCGGAGGTCTCCAGAGGCCTGCGGGGACCTCAGGATGCTGGAGGCGCGACACAGGCACGAGGAGCGCCTTCGCCCATAGGCCGCCCCGGGGATCGTCGCGGATGGATCTGGCTCGATCGTGCCCTGGAAGCACGGGGTCGAGGGCTTTGGCCTTGGCTGTCCCGCGGCGTCATGGTTTTCGGGGCACGTTGCCCGCCCACTGCGTGGAGCTGACGGTGATTCGGAACGGGCTCACGAAAGCAGCTGGCAGGGCCTGCAGCATGCCACAAGCGGCTCTCCGAAGCGCTGCACTCCTTCGGGAACTTGCAATAAGACAGCGTTGGCATGTACTTCGGGAAAGATAAAAAGGCATAAACGTTCAACTTTTGGAGGGCAAATTTCTTGAATCCGGGCTAGAAAACCCTTCCCTGGCGCGGAGCGCGCCAGGAGCGGCGCCGGCGGCGTCGCCCGGGAGGGCCCAGCGCGGATCCAAGAAATTCGCGCGGAGGACCAAAATATAATGTCTATAGCGTTTTTTTCTTTTTCGAGGACTCGCGGGGCGACTGCCGGCGCTGCAAGTGTGATGTCTTACACAGGGATATCCTTCGGACTACCGTTGGACGAGGCCAGGCGCGGGACACCTGCACTCTTCCAGGGTGGCTCATCTGTCTGATTCAGGGACCGGCCACAACGATGTATAAAACGAAATGTCGTTTACAACGAACAACGACACGAGGCCCAACGTTCAAAACGAACATTGAAGCCAATTTGGTGCCAAACGAAAACGAACGACGAAACGAAAAACCCAACAAGGGCCCAAACCAAGCTAAACAGCGTTGTGGTCGGTCCTTGGTCTTGTTTCCAGTCGTCCCCTGTCTTCTCTTCTCGTCCTCACCTGGTCTGGCGGGCAGGTGCCGATGGGCCGTGAAGCATTTGACGAGGAGATAGGCAGGAGGCAGGAGGAAGGAGAGAGGAATAGAGAGGAAGGGGTAACCAGAGAAGAAAGGCGACGACGAGGACAAAGACAATGACGAGGTGGAGAAGGGGGAGGGGAAGGGATGAGGGAACAGGAGGAAGAGGAGGGTTGAGGGAGGATAAGTGTATGACACATGATTTGCTTGACATCGACCGCGAGTGACCCTACCTAGATGGGGCACGAATAATCAAGCTGGGAGGAGGGAGGGAGGGAGGGACAAGGGAGGGAGGGAGGGACAAGGGAGGGAGGAGGGATGGAGGGATGGGAGGGAGGAGGGACAAGGGAGGGAGGGAGGAGGGACAAAGAACGGAGGCGGGACAAGGGAGGAAGGGAAGGCCAGGCACTGGGGCAGACCGGGGCTAAGCACGTGGACGGCGCGACGGCGGCGGCAGCGGCCCGCGGAGGCCGCGCGCGGCGCGGGTGCGCCTTCTTGTAGACCCTCCGGTCCAGCTGCGGCACGCCCTGGCGGCCCCGCGCGGGGCGTCGTGGGGGGGTGGGGGCACCGCCCCGAGGAGAGAGGCGAGAGGAGGATGAGGAGGAGGAGGAGGAGGCGGCGGAGGCGGCGGAGGAAAAGGAGGAGGAGGAGGAGAGAGAGAGAGAGGAGAGAGAGAGAGAGAGAGAGAGAAGAGAGAGAGAGAGAGAGAGAGAGAGAGAGAGAGGGCGAGGCGAGGAGGAGGAGGCGGAGGAGGAGGCGGAGGACGAAGAGGAGGGAAGATGAGAGAGGAGGAGGAGGAGGAGGAGAGGAGGAGGAGGAGGGGGAGGAGGAGGAGGAGGAGGAGGAGGAGGAGGAGGAGGAGGAGAGGAGAGAGGAGGAGGAGGAGGAGGAGGAGAGAGGAGGAGGAGAGAGGAGGAGGAGAGAGGAGGAGGAAGAGGAAGGAGAAGGAGGAGGAGGAGGAGGAGGAGGGAAGAGGAGAGAGGAGGAGGAGGAGGAGGAGGAGGAGGAGGAGGAGGAGGCGGAGGAGGAGGAGGAGGAGGAGAGGAGGAGGAGGAGGAGGAGAGGAGATGCGAGTAGAGGAGAGGAGAGGAAGGGAGGGGAGAATGAGAGGAGGAGCAAGGGGGCGTCCCGCGAAGCAGGAGAGGAGGCGAGAGGCGAGATGAGGAAGAAGACGAGGGGGTCTCTTTTGAACTTTCGTCGCAGGCCTCATCCTCTGTCGCCTCACCGTTGCGTCCTTCCTCCCTTCCGTTTGCTCGTCTTGCGCGCTACCCTTCTGCTGTCTTGCGCTCGACCCCCCACCGGCGAAGGCCCGCTTGGAGGGGAGGGCAGCGTTGAGACCAACCCTGATGCCCGCATCGAGTCGAGTCGAGCAGGAGGGGGGTAGAGGAGGAAGAAAACAGGAGGAGAGAGGAGGATGAGGAGACCCTTCCTCCCCCCCTGCCACCTCGATCCCTCCCCCAGGGCATAGCTGTCCTCCTGGGTCGTTCTTGGAGAGTCCTGGGCTGGGAAAAGGCACCCACAGAAAACGTGTGGGGTGCCGTGTCAGGGGAAGGCCCAGCAGACCTCCACCAGATCGACTTTCTTTCGGCCCTGCCATATATCTCGTTCGATATTCCTCCGAACGCGTGTTGGCGCCAACGTGTGCTTGTCCATCGAAGCCCTTCAATACGACGCAGGGCATAATGATCTACACTCGTCGTTTTCCCAGAAGGAACGCCGAAAACATAACGACATGGGTTTTCTGGTTACGGCGAACCTCGGCCGAAGAACACGTTCCCCGATCCAAACCTGAGGAGCAACCTGAAAACCAGAGCCCCGGAGTGGTGTTCCTTTTCCCCTCTCCCCCTTGCGCAGATGGCACGGGCCATCCTGCAACCTGGAACCCAGGAGCGGTGTCGTATAGGGAAACAAATAATAACATGAAGATACACATTCGGAGGTCCGCACGGATTGCTTGGATCGGCTCTGGACCCCCTCCCTAGCGCGCGGAGCGCGCCAGGGGCAGCGCCAGGGGCACCGCCGGGGACCTCATAGAGCTTCTCATACACGTGAAAGTGCTGTGAATGCAGACAGTAAGCTGCCTGGTATAGCAGCTAGAAAAATGAAATCATTGTTTGGGCTCTAACAAAAAATTAGTCACGCCGCCAGGGGGCTCCAGCGCCGATCCAAGGAATGAGCACGTCCGAGTTCTTGTCATCGTTTGTTCCCCGAGTCAAGGCCGCCGCGGCGCAGGGCAGGAAGGCCTTGCACACCCGCCGAAGAGTGCCAGATGGGCCTGACCGAGCAGAGTGGTGCACGGGGCTACGGATCCCCTTCTCTCCCCGCCGCCTTTCCGTCCCCCCGTCTCCCGCCTACGCCTGCATCGACAGAGTTGTAGTGCACGCCAGTGCGCTTTGCACCCTAGGCTGTGATGCAATTTTGTTTTACCTATGCGCTGTTTAGCGCCTGGCTACTGTCTGTCTGTCTGTCTGTCTCCCGCCTACCTCCCAGCGAGGCGGGCGGCTACTGCCGCGGGAGGTCCAGGGAACCATGCCGCCCGCGGCCCCCCTCCTGAGGCGGAGTCATGGCTGCGAGCATGGAGAAAGAACAACGTAAGCCCGTGGACGATGCTCAGAAGAGTGTAGCTGCTTTCTTCGGAAACCTAGATCCCGAAGGTGGGCCATGCAATGCCTGTGTCAAAGCTGAGGCGCTGGGCGCGTCGCTAGGAACGCAGACCTCTTCTCCGCCTCCTTCTCTTCCACATGGGGCGTCAACTGTCACGAAGAATAGCTGCTTTGACCGCCAGATGCGTGCGTGTGTGCTTTGGCCGTGGATACCCGGCCATCGTGGGCGAGCTGAGTCCTGCCACCCCGCCCGGCCCCCGCCCCCGCAGATTACGCAGCCACCCTCAGGCATCTCGCAATTTCAAACCCCATTGGTAAGGCACGTGCGCAACATGTTGCACCACCCGGTGCTTGCAACATTGGGCGTGTCGAATACTGTTGGTGTGTCTGTGTGTTAGTAGTTTGGTGCGTGTGTTGTTTGTTCTGTGCGTCTGTTCATGCCACTCCCCCCTGCCCCCCGAAAATAACATTGGCTACAACGGTCCGGGGTCGCCGAAACAAGAATGTTGTCGATCGCATTGGACATTCCCACATATCCTCACCCCGTGTTGCCAGCTCGAGATCTGCGGCAAAGGGGCGGGGAATGACGACAAAGCATACGTGGGAATAGCAGCTCAGAGTGATACAACGAGTTGGCGATGCCACACTGCACTGCACCATGGCACCACGGCCCCTCCGCGTGGCCCCCCCCAGCAGCCCCCCCCCCCCCCCCCCCCCCCCGCGCGTGGCCTCGTGCGCGCTCGTGCCCCCGCGTGGGGCTCTCTCGAGATCAAGATCCCCCTCCGCGTGGCTCCCGTGCGCCCCCCCCTTGGCCCACCCTGGCCCACCCCCGCGTGCGGCCATCCGCGTGGCTCTCTCGCGTGCCCCACCTTCGCACACAACACACACACACACAACACACACAAGCACAGGCACAGGCACAAGCAAAAACACGAGCATAAGCACGCGCACAAGCACAAGCACACGCTCACGCAAGCGCACAATCACACGCACACGCACACGCACACGCAAACACACTCACACACACAAACACGCACACGATTACATACCGTGTGGCACCTAATTGCCCGACGCGCTGTGACGCCGCCTTTGCCACCTCGGCGGTGCCCCATCGCTGCGCTCCTCTTCACTGCCCGCACCACGCCTGCGCCCTGAATTCCCCCACGCCGAAGGCTCTGCGGCTCCAGACTACCGTCGCTCCTGCCTTCTGCCGCCGCTTGATCCCAACGGTCGAGCAGTCCCACGCGCCATGGTGCGAAGGACGAGGAGGAGGTGGACGAGGACGAGGAGGATGAGGAGGACGAGGAGGAGGACGTGAAAGAGTAGGAGGAGGAGGACGAGGAGGAGGAAGAGAAAGAGAATCAGGAAGAGGACGAAGAGGAGGAGGATAATCAGGAGGACGAGGATATTCAGGAGGAGGAGGAGGAGGAGGAGGAGGAGGAGGAGGAGGGTCGCATCCGATCCGAGGAAAGGCCGCTCGGGCGTGCAGCGCCCGGGCGGCGGCTCCCGCGGGCACGGCGGGGCGCCTGCTCCTCGTACTCGCCCGCCAGGCTCTTCGCCGCCTGCGGGCGGCCGGCGGGCGGGCGCCGCGAGAGGCCGTGGGGAACCATGGGAGGATCGGGTCGGGCGACAGGGGGAGATAGCTAAAGGGGGGGTTTGATAATCAGCTCACTGCAGCTGATTTTCCCGGCGCCTCCCGGCGCCGGAGGCGCCCATGTATCGAGGAATGGGCCCAGCGGCGGGGCCGAAACCAGCTGCATGCAGCAAATTTCGTACCCCCCCCTTTCCCAATCCCCCCCTTTCGTCTGGCCCGAGAGGAGGAAGTGGTACCCACCCGGAGACCCTGGCGCTGCAACTTTTTCACAGCGGGCGCTTTTTCGCTCGTTCCCGGGCCCCGGGGCCCTCGCGGGTCGATCCGGCTCGGAAACTGACGAAGCAAGATGGGGTCGGGAGCTCTGGTCGTGACGTGTCACGATGCTGCAGTTTTGCCGCAACGTCGGATCTCAGAGCATATCGCTACGCTTCCATTGTTTTCGCCTTCTTGGGCCTCCTGGGAGGCCCTCGTCGCCGCCGCCAGATTCGCCTCGAGATTGCGGTCAAGGAACACCCCGGGAGAGGTCCGGTATCGGTACCCTGAGATCCGACGTTGCGAAACAAATGCAACATCGCAAAAAATCACAGCCAGAGATCTGGACCCCATCTTTCTGCGTCATTTTTCGAGCCGGATCGATCTGTGAGGATCCTGGGGCCCGAGAACTAGCGAAGAAGCGCCCGCAGCCCGCTGTGAAAAAAAATGGCAACGCCAGGATCGCAAGGTAACCTGCGGTTTCCCCAGAGCCCGGCCTTCCAGGAGAGCCCGACGGAGGCAGGTGGCACGTGGAGGCCGCTCGGCGGAAGCTCGAGATAGCGGAAGAATTCGGCCTCCAGAGACACGTCCCTGCGGGCGAAGCCTTGTCGCAACCGCACCGCAAGAAGGAACCGTTCGGGTCAGGATGGCTTAGTTAGGGAATGCCTGGGACTGTTCAGTTGTTCTCCGCCCTCCTCCTTCTTCTCCTCTTCCCCTCGCACCCCTTGAGAAGCAATCTGAAACATGCGGCAAGAAGGCGGCTCGCGCGCACCGGGTTCTCGCCAGCCACCCCCACCTCCGAAAACGAACAAAAGGCAGAAGCCAGACGGAATCCCTTTCCGACCAATGAAATTGGAAGGATTCATAAGTAGCTTGTGCTGCGGAAGTGCTCCCCAATTAATGCTTTGCGCGGCCCGCCAAGCTCTTAACCGGAAGAGGCTCGCTCTCGACCCGCAGACCAAAAAGTGCTGCGGAGGTGCGCTCCCCAAAGAAGACCCCGAAACATCGACCTGGATCGTCGTTCCAGGGTCTTTGCTGTACTGGCAGTGCGCACGTCTGAGGATGAAGCAGGCGCGGCGTGCCAACCCTCGGGAGCTGTCCCGATCCTCCAGGCGATTAGCCTCCTCCTCCTCCTCGTCCTCCTCCTCCCTCCTCCTCCTCCTCCCTCCTCCTCCTCCTCCTCCTCCTCCTCCACCTCCTTCTCCTCCTCCTCCTCCTTCTCCTCCTCGTTCTCCTCCTCGTTCTCCTCCTCCTTCTCCTCCTCCTCCTCCTCCTCCTCCCGAGTGGGCGCATAGGCAAAAGCAAAACGAGCTGTGTCCAGTAGTACGCTCGCGAGAGAGCGGGAACGAGGCGTGCTAAGATCTCTGGTAACAGGTCGAACATATTCCTGTGCATAGTTCGCGCGCGCGGGGCGGCCCCTGGGAGTCCCAAAGCGTCAAATACTCCAGGTAAGTCCAGGGCAAGGTCCCGCCAGAGATGGTTTTGCAACTGGCGCCGCCCTCGAGGCCTCCCAGAGAGCCCCAAGAAGAGCCAAGAGACCCCAAAAAGCAATCGAACTGGTCCAAAAGAGCGCCGAGACGCCACAATATCGCTCCTATACGCCCGAGATAGCCACCAGACGGCCAACGAGGCCTCCAAGAGGCCTCCCCAAAGAGTCCCAAGAGGCAAGACTCCACGACTCATTGATTCCCCGTGGGTTTTTGAAGTATGTTCGCGTTTCCACCTTTTCGGCTTCCCAACGCTCCAACGCGGCCCAATAAGTCCCCACGACCGCTCCAAGACGGCCCAAGGATCTCGGAGAAGGCCCCCGAACAGCTCCAAAACAACCCACGAGAGCTCCAAGACTGTCCAAAAGGCCTCGAAGATGGCCCAAGAGGCCCCCGAGACGGCTTCAAGAGAGGGCTCAGACGGGGGACCCGAGCAGCCATTTCGAGCTCTTTGCCCGAAGAGGCCCCCAGGAGGCCCCTAAGACCGAAGACGTCCCAAAAAGCCCTCAAGAAGCCCCCGTGAGGCCCCAGGAGGTTTCAAACAGACCGCCAAGAAGAGGCCCCCGAGAGGCCTCCCACCCGAAAGCAGGATACACAGCTTGCACCGAACGCCTTAAATCTTCAGACTGCATCCAAACCGACCATCCACAGAGGACATTCCGCACACCGCCCAGGCTAAACATTTACACGCCTCATGCACCGCAGGGGCCCGCAACAACCCCCCTCAGAGGCAGCTCAACAACAACTGCTTCAGCTCGAACGATTCCCACGCACCACGACGGATAACAACTACCGCTCAACAACACCACCTTGACAACGACCACGCGGGGGATCGAGAATCGCCACGCAATATGGGCTGGCGGAATGAGCGAAGGGATTTGATATACCGACACGCGCGCGTGCCATGGCCGACGAGGGGAGAGGGGGGAGAGGGAGGGGAGACGGGGGAGGGGAGGGGAGGGGAAAGGGCAAACATACAGTGTAGAATGCATTGCACGTTTATGCGCAGCGGGGGGGGCAACCCAGAGCAAATCAGAGAAGCTCAGAGCGGGCGCGGCGCGCGGCGGAGTCGGCGCTGTGGCGCACAGCGAGCAGCCGACCCCCCTACGGACGTGGCCCTGCGTGGTGTGAGAGAGCTCGTGGGCCGTGGCCTAAGACGAAGCCAAGACGAGGACAGCGTCGTGTGAGGACAAATCGAGAATCTCTCAGATCCGGCGGCTCTGGAGGGTGTCGGGCGTCGCGGCCTTCTCGGAGCGCTCCAGAACGCTCTGAGAGCGATCCAGAACGCTCTGGAACGGATTTATCCTCGTCTAAAAGAAGAACAAACGTCATGAACATGAACTTTTGGCGCTCCGCGCGGATGTCTTGGATCTGGCCTGGGCCCCCCCCTTCCTGCCGCGCGGAGCGCGCCAGGGGCGGCGCCGGAGGCGCCGCCGGGGGGCCCAGCGCCGATCCAAGGAATCCGCTCGGAGAGCCAAAAGTTCATGTTTATGCAGTTTTTTCTTCTTCGACTACAGTCAACCCGTACAATGAGGACGCACGATGAGGATGCAAGGGCCTTGGACGCCCATTTCGAAGCATTTTTGAGCGGGGCGCGGCCGACGAAAGTGGCGAAGGATGGACCCAGGAGGCAAGGATGCAAGGGTACCCCAGATTTCGTAATAAAAGGGAGGGGGGTCTCATTTCGGGGGGGGTCTCTTCCAGGCTATCTTGGAGGGCCCGGGGGGGTCTGGGGACGATGTTTTGGAGGGTTCTCCCAGGGGGGGGGGTCTAAAACTTCTCGTCTGGGAGGCTTGAGACCCCCTCCCTTTGATTACGAAATCTGGAGTACCCTTGGGAGGGATGCCAATCCTTGATATGCGGGTCGACTCTAGCCCCGCCCGGCTTGGAGGGCAGCGCTTGGGAGCGGCGCTGCGGGCCTCGTCGCCGTCCTGGCACTTGACGACCTCTGCGGCGGCGGGGACGCGCCGGGGGCGGCCGGGCGGTGCGGAGGCGCAGGGCGGCGGGAGGCTGGGGGGCGTCGGAGGGGCATCGATGCCGCTATGCTCCCTGGACCTCTCTCGGGGTGCGTCCTGACCAGAACTTCGACCCTCCTTATTCTCCAACTCCTCCTCCTCCTCCTCCTCCTCCTCCTCTCTCCTCCTCCTCTTCCTCCTGCTCTCCTCCTTCTCCTCCTTTTCTTCTCCTCCTCCCCATCCTCCTCGTCCTCCTCCTCCTCCTGATTATCCTCCTGATCCTCCTCCTTCTCCTCCTCCTCGTCCTCGTCCTCGTTCTCCTCCTCCTCCTCCTCTTCCTCCTCCTCCTCCTCCACCTCCTCCTCCTCCTCCCTCGCCGATGCGAGGGGGCACTGACCCCATCTAGTCATACAGTCCTCCTGCTCCTGCTCCTCCTCGTGCTTCTCCTCCTCCTCCTCCTCCTCCTCCCCCCTCCCTTCCTCCTTCCTCCCCTCTCCTCCTTCCTTCTCCTCCTCCTCCTCCGTTCCTCCTCCTCCTCTTCTCTCCTCCTCCCACCAACGCCTCCTCCACTACTCCTCCCCCTCCTGCTCCTCCTCCCTCGCCGAGGCGTGGGGGTACTGACCCTCTAGTCATACGGCCTCCTCCTTCCTCCTCCTCCTCCACCTCCTCCTGCTCTCCTCCCTCCTCCACCTCCTCCTCCCTCCTCCTGCTCCCTCCCTCGCCGAGGCGAGGGGGTACTGACCCATCTAGTCATACGGTCCTCCTCCTCCTCCTCCTCCTCCTCCTCCTCCTCCTCCTCCTCCTCCTCCTCCTCCCCCTTTTCTGAGGAACGTATCTTGGTCCGCGGCGACGCGGACCCACCCCGTGTGCGCAGGCGGCCGAGGCATGCCAGGACACTTGTTGCGTCGGCGGCGAGGCAGGGGACGGAGAAGCTTAAAACGGGGGTGCCGTTAGAGCGAATTGGGCCACCATGCAAGAGGGGGAACAGGCGGAGGACGCGGCCGAAAGAGGGGGGAGGAGGGAGCGAGCCGCTCAGTGGGACGGGTCACGCCCCGAGCGCGTGGCGCGGCCAGCCCCGCTGGCGGGCTTGCGGGTGCTGCTGCACCAAGGGGGCCGGCGGCGGCGGGGCCCACGCATGACAGGACACACGTGAGCGTTTTCTTGATCAGCGTTTCGACATTGGGCTGAAGGGGGCCCTGAGATCCTGGAGTTGCCATTTTTTTCGCAGCGGGCGTTTTCGCTCGTTCTCGGGCCCTGGGACTCTCCCAGATCGCTCGAAAAATGACACAGAAAGATGGGGTCTGGAGTTCTGATCGTGATCTTTCACGATGTTGCACTTTTGTCGCAGCGTTGGATCTAAGGATATTCGGCGTTTCGACGTTGGGCGGAATGGGGGGAGGGGGAGGGATGCGTCCTGTGGGGAAGACTCCTCCTGCTTGAAGCAGGCGCCCCAAAAAAGCGAAGATCTACTCCATGGGGGGGAACGGGGGGTGCGAAGGCCTGCGCCGATCGGCAAAGCGACCGCCCACCGTGGCTGGCCGGGGCTATCCTGGGCCCCAGCAAGGTGCACAGTTTACCCATCGGTCGGAAGAAGGAGGTAAAAACATGAAATAGAAGGGCATTGAAAATAGATTGGGTTTCCGTCCGCCTCCTAAAGAACACGGAAACGGTGAAGCCACTCGATCATTGAAATAAGAAAGCGCTTAAAGTTAGTCGGATCCTGGGAAGAAATACCTACTTTCAACGACCGATGGGTATGTGAAGCACCCCGCAGCTGCGGATGAGAATTAAAGGGCGGGCGCGGGGTTGGTCGCGGATGGGTCGCGGGTGGTTCGCGGTTGTGTCGCGGTGGGGTCGCGGGTAGGTCGCGGGTGTGTCGCGGGTGGGTAGCAGGTGGGTCGCGGGTGGGTCGGAATCCGTACGAGGGGAGCCTTACATGCCTTAGTCAAGAATCCGTCCCAAGGAGATCTTCATACATAATCCTCACAAAGGAACCATTGATAAAGGAGCCTTGCGAAGGGAACCTTCGGAATTATTAGCAACTAGTCCTTACAAAGGTAGCCTTCATACATCATCCCGACGAAAGAATCCTGACTAATCATCTTGGCGAAGGACCCAACCATACGTGGGTACCACCGTTGTGAAACACGCCTTCGGTGGAGCTCACTACGAGGCCACGAAACGCGTGACTGGAGCGCCGAATTGAGGCGGGGCCGTTATGCGGGCGTTGCCGCTGGGGCCGCCCGCAGGGCGCGCAGAGGTCACACGAAACAAATTACATGCTAATGTAACCCGTTGCGGGTGACAGGCACCGTGAGAAGCGGAAGAAGACATGCGGGCGCAGCATGCGAACGCAGTCACTGAGGCCTTCGGTGGAGCTCCCTATGGGACCACGAAGTGTGTGAAGGGTGTGCCAAGGTGAGGAGGGTGGCGGCATGCGAACGCAGCCACTGGGGCTTTAGGTGGAGTTCCCTATGTGGACACGAAACGTGTGAAAAGTGTGCCAAAGCGATGGGGGGTGGCGGCATGCGAACGGCCAATGGGGCTTTAGGTGGAGCTCCCTATGGGGCCCCGAAGCGCCCCAGCGCAGATCCAAGAAATCCGCGCGGAGCGCCAACAGTTTATGTGTATGTTGTTTTGTCTTCTTCGACTTGTCCTCAGGGCCCCGTAAACCCAGACGCGCCAGACCCGGACACCCAACATCCCTGGAAACCAATTTTTCCAGACAACGGCAAGAACAAAAGAGTGCACTGCAGCAGTTCCAGAATAAACCCAGACACAAGCCCTGAAAGCCTGCAAGACCCCCCCAAACCCGGACACGAACGCGAATCCTACAGCGCAGCAAACAGACAATGCACGGGTGCTGAAACATGTGACCTTGCAGGAAAAGGGGCCGTTTCCTTGGTGTTCCGTGTCCTGGTTTATCCGTGTCCTGATCTCCGGGGGCCTGCTGTCCCCGAGCGCAACGCCCGCCGGAAGGCGGGAGAGGCGGGGGGCGCCGGGCCATGCGTTTGTTCTCCTCCCGCATGTACTGCCTGTAGGCCTCCACGATCTGCAGCGACTCCTCCGCGCGCGCGCAGGCGCGCGCGAACCCGCCGGAGCCCCGCCCAGGGCTGCCGCCGCCCAGAGAGCTCCGACGAGCGCCAGGTGGAGGCCTCCCCGACGGGATCCGAGCAGACGGGTTCGGAGGATCGCGCCGCATCGCGGCTGCATCGCCGACGCATCGGCGGTGCATCGGAGACGTCGGCGATGCATCGGCGCCACCGGCGTGCAAGCAAAAATCTGGCTCCACATCGAGCCGCACCGCCGAAGTATCGGCGATGCGGCGCGATCCTCCCACCCCTTCCACTCGGACCCCAAGCGACGAATCGGTGCCGTTGCTTAACAAGGGATACGTTGACCCCTATCCCAGGCTTCGTGGGGTTTTCGAATGGACCAAACATTTGGGGCCCAACCCTGGGATATACGAGGCGGGGGCATCCATCCGCGATAGGGGTGCGTCGGAATAGCCCCCTGGGGGTGTATCCCAGGGTTCCCCTCCTTTTCTTAGCCGCGTCATTTTTCGTCGAAGTGTCTGGGGTTGGGATGGGAACATCGCCTGCGATTGCTTGAGGGGGAAGGAAAGATGACACCACCACCACTCGGCGGAGGCAACTCAGGGGCGGGCGTTACACGTTTTCGCCCTCGTGATTGGCGATCGGAGCCCCTGGATAAATGTAAGGCTCTCCCCTGGGCGATCCGCCTGTGTTGCAGCCGGCGAACCACCAGCAACGGCACTAGACAAGCAGGGTGGTCATGTTGGTGCGTTCCCTCTCTTCTGCGGCGTCCCGCCTAGGACGTCGACAACCCTCAGCTCGGGCAGGCATCGCGGACCTTGTCGCTGGAGGTGGCCCCTCTGGTTGTGCGGTCGCGTCTCCTCCCTCCAGCGCAAGTCCATGATACAAGATCTAACATAGAAGAAGAAACAACTGCATAAGCATCAACTTTCAGCGCTCCGCGCGGATTTCTTGAATGCGCGCTAGACCCCCCCCCCCTTCCCTGGCGCGCGGAGCGCGCCAGGGGCAGCGCCTGGGGCAGCGCCAGAGGCGCCGCCGGGGGACCCAGGCGCGGATCCCAGACATCCGCGCGGAGCGCCACGAGTGTATGCTTATGGCGCTTTTTCTCCTGCCATGACAGAACAGCGCAGCAAGCTACACAGCGAAGAGCGCCCGGGGTGGGGGCGTCCGCCCTCGATAGGGGTGCGTCCGAATAGCCCCATAAGGGGTGAATCCCAGGGTTTCCCTCCTCTTCTGAGCGGCTTCACTTTTCGTCGAAGAGTCGGGGGCTGGGGTTGAGCAGGGACCGACCGTCCCAGCATTCCTATAGCCCTCTCACGAAATGTTCGTAGAACCCCAAAATGTTCTAAGAACAAGAAACAAGGTTCTTAGAACATGATCCCGATATGTTACACCAAAACAGTCCCAGCCAGAAATGTTCTAAGAACATTTCGTGGGAACGGCAAAATGTTCTTAGAACATTGTTTGGTAGGGCTATAGGCGAGCCAGGACGCTTCGCCACCGCCTGATGGGGGGGAAAACGGCTTGCGAATCTTGGCAGAACCGCGCGACGAGCTGCAGCGCAGACCGGCGGTCAACAAGGGCCGGAGATGACATCCACGCTCGGGGCTTCGCGAGAAATCCTCGGGGGCTACAGGTGGCTGCGGACAACTCCTGGGCGCCAGTCCTCCTCCTCTCAAAGAAGAAGACGAAGAAGAAAAGGAAAAGCCCTTCTTGGTACTCGGCGATGCTTCTGGCAGCGCGATGCCTGTGAAGTGGACGGGGAGATGCCAGAAGAAGAGAAACGCCATAGACATAAACTATAAGCGCTCCGCGCGGACTTCTTGGATCTGCGCTGGGCCCCCCTGGCGGCGCCTCCGGCGCCGCCCATGGCGCGCTCCGCGCGCCAGGGAGCGGGGCCAGGACAGATCGTAAGACCAAACGTTCATGTTTGTGGCGCCCGCTCTTCGGTCATCCTCCTTCCCCCTTCGCGGGCATCGCGCTGCCAGTATTTGGGGGTACGTCAAGAATTTGCTTCTCAGTAGTAGGCTGGATTAGGTAGTAGTAGTAGTAGTAGTAGTAGTAGTAGTAGTAGTAGTAGTAGTAGTAGTAGTAGTAGTAGTAGCAGTAGTAGTAGTAGTAGTCGTAGTAGTGGTAGTAGTAGTAGTAGTAGTAGTAGTAGTCGTAGTAGTAGTAGTAGTAGTAGTAGTAGTAGTAGTAGTAGTAGTAGTAGTGCTTACTGGCTTGGCCACTACTTCTATGCAACGGCTGCTCTGTAGTAGTAAGTCGTAGTAGTAGTAGTAGTAGTAGCAGTAGTAGTAGTAGTAGTAGTAGTAGTGGCAGTAGTAGTAGTAGTAGTAGTAGTAGTAGTAGTAGTAGTAGTAGTAGTGGTAGTAGTAGTAGTAGCAGTGAAAATAACAGTAGTAGTAGCAGTTGTAGTAGTAGTAGTAGCAGTAG